CATGGCAGATTCTTAACCGCGCCTACATGGCAGATTCTTAACCGTACCTACATGGCAGATTCTTAACCGTGCCTACATGGCAGATTCTTAACCGTGCCTACATGACAAATTCTTAACCGCGCCTACATGACAGATTCTTAACCGCGCCTACGTGGCAGATTCTTAACCGTGCCTACATGGCAGATTCTTAACCGCGCCTACATGGCAGATTCTTAACCGTGCCTACATGGCAGATTCTTCACCGTGCCTACATGACAGATTCTTAACCGCGCCTACATGGCAGATTCCTAACCGTGCCTACATGGCAGATTCTTAACCATGCCTACATGACAGATTCTTAACCGCGCCTACATGGCAGATTCTTAACCGCGCCTACATGGCAGATTCTTAACCGCGCCTACATAGCAGATTCTTAACCGCGCCTACATGGCAGATTCTTAACCGCGCCTACATGGCAGATTCTTAACCGTGCCTACATGCCAGATTCTTAACCGCGCCTACATGGCAGATTCTTAACCGCGCCTACATGGCAGATTCTTAACCGTGCCTACATGGCAAATTCTTAACCGTGCCTACATGGCAGATTCTTAACCGTGCCTACATGGCAGATTCTTAACCGTGCCTACATGACAGATTCTTAACCGCGCCTACATGGCAGATTCTTAACCGCGCCTACATGGCAGATTCTTAACCGTGCCTACATGGCAGATTCTTAACCGTGCCTACATGGCAGATTCTTAACCGTGCCTACATGGCAGATTCTTAACCGTGCCTACATGGCAGATTCTTAACCGCGCCTACATGGCAGATTCTTAACCGTGCCTACATGGCAGATTCTTAACCGTGCCTACATGGCAGATTCTTAACCGCGCCTACATGGCAGATTCTTAACCGCGCCTACATGGCAGATTCTTAACCGCGCCTACATGGCAGATTCTTAACCGCGCCTACGTGGCAGATTCTTAACCGCGCCTACATGGCAGATTCTTAACCGTGCCTACGTGGCAGATTCTTAACCGTGCCTACATGGCAGATTCTTAACCGTGCCTACATGGCAGATTCTTAACCGTGCCTACATGGCAGATTCTTAACCGCGCCTACATGGCAGATTCTTAACCGCGCCTACATGGCAGATTCTTAACCGTGCCTACATGGCAGATTCTTAACCGTGCCTACATGGCAGATTCTTAACCGTGCCTACATGACAGATTCTTAACCGTGCCTACATGACAGATTCTTAACCGCGCCTACATGGCAGATTCTTAACCGTACCTACATGGCAGATTCTTAACCGTGCCTACATGGCAGATTCTTAACCGTGCCTACATGACAAATTCTTAACCGTGCCTACATGACAGATTCTTAACCGCGCCTACATGGCAGATTCTTAACCGTGCCTACATGGCAGATTCTTAACCGTGCCTACATGGCAGATTCTTAACCGTGCCTACATGGCAGATTCTTAACCGTGCCTACATGACAGTTTCTTAACCGCGCCTACATGGCAGATTCTTAACCGTGCCTACATGGGAGATTCTTAACCGCGCCTACATGACAGATTCTTAACCGCGCCTACATGGCAGATTCTTAACCGCGCCTACATGGCAGATTCTTAACCGCGCCTACATAGCAGATTGTTAACCGCGCCTACATGGCAAATTCTTAACCGTGCCTACATGTCAGATTCTTAACCGCGCCTACATGGCAGATTCTTAACCGTGCCTACGTGGCAGATTCTTAACCGCGCCTACATGGCAGATTCTTAACCGCGCCTACATGGCAGATTCTTAACCGCGCCTACATGGCAGATTCTTAACCGTGCCTACATGGCAGATTCTTAACCGAGCCTACATGGCAGATTCTTAACCGCGCCTACATGGCAGATTCTTAACCGTGCCTACATGGCAGATTCTTAACCGCGCCTACATGGCAGATTCTTAACCGCGCCTACATGGCAGATTCTTAACCGCGCCTACATGGCAGATTCTTAACCGCGCCTACATGGCAGATTCTTAACCGCGCCTACATGGCAGATTCTTAACCGCGCCTACATGGCAGATTCTTAACCGCGCCTACATGGCAGATTCTTAACCGCGACTACATGGCAGATTCTTAACCGCGCCTACATGGCAGATTCTTAACCGCGCCTACAAGCCAGATTCTTAACCGCGCCTACATGGCAGATTCTTAACCGCGCCTACATGGCAGATTCTTAACCGCGCCTACATGGCAGATTCTTAACCGTGCCTACATGGCAGATTCTTAACCGTGCCTACATGACAGATTCTTAACCGTGCCTACATGGCAGATTCTTAACCGCGCCTACATGGCAGATTCTTAACCGTGCCTACATGGCAGATGCTTAACCGTGCCTACATGGCAGATTCTTAACCGTGCCTACATGAAAGATTCTTAACCGCGCCTACATGGCAGATTCTTAACCGCGCCTACATGGCAGATTCTTAACCGTGCCTACATGGCAGATTCTTAACCGCGCCTACATGGCAGATTCTTAACCGCGCCTACATGGCAGATTCTTAACCGCGCCTACATGGCAGATTCTTAACCGTGCCTACATGGCAGATTCTTAACCGCGCCTACATGGCAGATTCTTAACCGCGCCTACATGGCAGATTCTTAACCGCGCCTACATGGCAGATTCTTAACCGCGCCTACATGTCAGATTCTTAACCGCGCCTACATGGCAGATTCTTAACCGCGCCTACGTGGCAGATTCTTAACCGCGCCTACATGGCAGATTCTTAACCGCGCCTACATGGCAGATTCTTAACCGCGCCTACATGGCAGATTCTTAACCGTGCCTACATGGCAGATTCTTAACCGCGCCTACATGGCAGATTCTTAACCGTGCCTACATGACAGATTCTTAACCGCGCCTACATGGCAGATTCTTAACCGCGCCTACATGGCAGATTCTTAACCGCGCCTACATGGCAGATTCTTAACCGCGCCTACGTGGCAGATTCTTAACCGCGCCTACATGGCAGATTCTTAACCGCGCCTACATGACAGATTCTTAACCGCGCCTACATGGCAGATTCTTAACCGCGCCTACATGGCAGATTCTTAACCGTGCCTACATGGCAGATTCTTAACCGCGCCTACATGGCAGATTCTTAACCGCGCCTACATGGCAGATTCTTAACCGCGCCTACATGGCAGATTCTTAACCGCGCCTACATGGCAGATTATTAACCGCGCCTACATGGCAGATTCTTAACCGCACCTACATGGCAGATTCTTAACCCCGCCTACATGGCAGATTCTTAACCGCGCCTACATGGCAGATTCTTAACCGCGCCTACATGGCAGATTCTTAACCGCGCCTACATGGCAGATTCTTAACCGCGCCTACATGGCAGATTCTTAACCGCGCCTACATGGCAGATTCTTAACCGCGCCTACATGGCAGATTCTTAACCGTGCCTACATGGCAGATTCTTAACCGTGCCTACATGACAGATTCTTAACCGCGCCTACATGGCAGATTCTTAACCGCGCCTACATGGCAGATTCTTAACCGTGCCTACATGGCAGATGCTTAACCGTGTCTACATGACAGATTCTTAACCGTGCCTACATGACAGATTCTTAACCGCGCCTACATGGCAGATTCTTAACCGCGCCTACATGGCAGATTCTTAACCGCGCCTACATGGCAGATTCTTAACCGCGCCTACATGGCAGATTCTTAACCGCGCCTACATGGCAGATTCTTAACCGCGCCTACATGGCAGATTCTTAACCGTGCCTACATGGCAGATTCTTAACCGCGCCTACATGGCAGATTCTTAACCGCGCCTACATGGCAGATTCTTAACCGCGCCTACATGGCAGATTCTTAACCGCGCCTACATGGCAGATTCTTAACCGCGCCTACATGGCAGATTCTTAACCGCGCCTACATTGCAGATTCTTAACCGCGCCTACATGGCAGATTCTTAACCGCGCCTACATGGCAGATTCTTAACCGCGCCTACATGGCAGATTCTTAACCGCGCCTACATGGCAGATTCTTAACCGTGCCTACATGGCAGATTCTTAACCGCGCCTACATGGCAGATTCTTAACCGCGCCTACATGGCAGATTCTTAACCGCGCCTACATGGCAGATTCTTAACCGCGCCTACATGTCAGATTCTTAACCGCGCCTACATGGCAGATTCTTAACCGCGCCTACGTGGCAGATTCTTAACCGCGCCTACATGGCAGATTCTTAACCGGGCCTACATGGCAGATTCTTAACCGCGCCTACATGACAGATTCTTAACCGCGCCTACATGGCAGATTCTTAACCGCGCCTACATGGCAGATTCTTAACCGCGCCTACATGGCAGATTCTTAACCGCGCCTACATGGCAGATTCTTAACCGAGCCTACATGGCAGATTCTTAACCGCGCCTACATGGCAGATTCTTAACCGCGCCTTCATGGCAGATTCTTAACCGTGCCTACATGACAGATTCTTAACCGCGCCTACATGGCAGATTCTTAACCGCGCCTACATGGCAGATTCTTAACCGCGCCTACATGGCAGATTCTTAACTGCGCCTACATGGCAGATTCTTAACCGCGCCTACATGGCAGATTCTTAACCGCGCCTACATGGCAGATTCTTAACCGCGCCTACATGGCAGATTCTTAACCGTGCCTACATGACAGATTCTTAACCGCGCCTACATGGCAGATTCTTAACCGCGCCTACATGGCAGATTCTTAACTGAGCCTACATGGCAGATTCTTAACCGCCACTACACGGCAGATTCTTAACTGCACCTACATGGCAGAAACTGGCATGGCACTAATAACCTAAACTATCTCAGTTATAATTTCAGAGTAATAACTTAAGTAAATATAATATTTTAAATACTTTGGACTATTGTTATAATTACAGTACAATTTCAGACAATAATACAGTTATAATTTCAGAGTAACAACTTAAGTAAATATAATATTTTAAATACTTTGAACTATTTTACCTTCCTATTTGCAAAGTGGGTTCAGTTGCATACACCTGCCCTTTGAATCCTGTTTCTTCAGTGATAAAAGGCAAAGCCATCATGCAGGTGTAGTTAGAAATAAGGATCACATCCAGTTGTGAGAAATCTACCACTTTATCCAGTGGTGGACAGAACTCAGGAATACTGTCTACAAATACTCGCCCACAGCATTCTTTTAATTCCTTAAAATGAAAAACATTTTTATTAGTATAATGATACATTATATTTACGGAATATCACACGTTAAATAAAACTAATTTTTAACAGCAGCAGCAGCACCCATGACTTCAGAGAGCTCTCCACAAGCTGACAGCTGACCCGGAACAACAGAAAACAACATTTTTAAATTAAATGTAATGAATACCATAAAATTAGTTTTATTTATTTTGATTAGTAATTAATTATATCAGGATAAAATGAGACTATAAATGACACCGTTATCATCATAAAAATCAACAGCATGTTTATATTCTACTGTAAGACAAAGAGTTTCCTTTCCAAAGTTGGAACTACTGACATTCTTAAGGTCCCTTTAATCACTGTATTTTAATTAACAAGTATTTTTAACTTGTGCTTAAATTGCTCAAGCTCGGATGATATTGTGTAACAATATTTCTACATCACTTACAAAGCATACATTAGCGTATACATTTTACTTTACATTGCTTTCTGCTTAAATATAAATGGTGCTAATGCACTAGTAAGCTATGAATTATTATAATTCTACTATTTCATATATTAATGTCATTTTATCAAAAGTATAAAGATTACAAAGATACTTACTCCTTCCAAAAGTGGATCATTAACATGAGGCGGAGTATAATTGGGCAGGGAAGCAAGGCGAGTGCTGGGCACAGGGGGCAACGGCAGGAAGTTCAACACTGAGTGAGCTGAGAGACCACAGTCTAGCATGATCATCAGCTCTTTGAATGACAGCACAAAGCATGGCTTTGCAGCATCACTGCTCAAACAGTACTGTAACAAAAATGACAGGGTAAAGTTAAACATGGAGATAGTGGAGGGTTTCCGTTAAAGTTATTACATCTATAATAGATACTACTGCACCTCAACTTGGTATTATTTTCAATTCTAGTATCAAATCTGGTGTCTTTCCTGATTTAATGAAGCATAGTAAAGTAAAAGCATGATTTAAATCTGGTAGTACATTGGACCCTACCAATTTTAGACCAATTTTTGTACTGCTAACACTTAGTAATATTTTTGAAAAAATTATTCTTAATCAAATGTAAAAAGAATAAAGTAAATAATTTACTTCAGAAAAATCTATTCAGTTTCACAAAGGGTTGCTCGACAACAGATGCTGTTGTTGAGCTGATTAAATATATCTTCAATGCATGGGAGTTTTCACAGAATGCTTTGGGTATATTCTGTGATTTATCCAAAGCTTTCAATTGTGTTCACCACACAAATGAAGTGCTTAGATTAATTATTACATATTTAAGTAACAATACGCAAAAAATCCAAATGTATTTTTTTGTGGTGTGGGGGTTGCTGGGGGGGGGGGAATGGGGGCTGTGTGTGAGGTTGTTTGGGGGGGAGTTTCCGGTTTAGTTTTTGGGGGAACCCTTTGGGTTGTTGTCAGAAACAGAAACAGAAACTTTTTTATTCAATGTAGATTGTAACAAATACTTATTGAAAGTCACTTTTTTCATTTACCACTGGTTCGCAAAAAAAACCTCTGTCCTGGGAAGAACCAGCAAGAAACCCAGCGGGACTATTTTTTTTTCCAATAATAGCTTACAATCATGTTTACAATTAGCAACACAAACAAATTAGAAATAGCTTGGTAGCGATCACCCTTCCCAGGGGTTATTATCATCCATAAATTCCTTAATATTATAATAACCCTATTTATACAAACTTAGTTTAATAACATTTTTGAACTTTGTGTATGATAAATTTTGTATATTTTCTGGGATTTTGTTGTAAAAGCGTATACATCGCCCCAAGAATGAATTACTGACTCGGTGGAGTCGAGTAACTGGTACTACCAGCTTGTGTCTGTTCCTAGTATTTACAGAATGAATATCACTTATTTTCACAAAACTACTTTTATTTTTGTGTACGTACATTACATTTCGTTGCCCTACTCCAAATTTCCCTACCTTCAGCTCACCGCTTTCTCTTGTGCCCAGTTTTGCGTTGAAGTCTCCCATCAACACCGTGTAGTAGGTTTTGGAGGAATGTATGGCTCTGGAAATATCCTCATACATTTCCTCCACCTCCTCATCGGGATGTGCCGAGGTTGGTGCGTAAACCTGAATGACCTTCAGCGAATACCGTTTGGTGATTCTGAGTATCAGGTACGCGACCCTCGTCGACACACTCCCAATCTTTACAACGTTGTTGACGAGAGATTTGTGGACGATAAATCCGACACCTCCTTGGGACAGATGGTCGCCCTCCCGGTGATAGAACAAGTTGCCGGACTCGAGGATTGCCGTGTCCTCCCCCTCTCTTCGGACCTCGGATAATCCAATAATATGCCAGCGCAACTTGTCTACCTCTTCTTCCAGCTCCAGTATCTTCTCGTCAGTCCTCAGGGTGCGTGCGTTATATGTTGCCAGGTCGAGTCGTCGTAGGTGGCAACCGAACCTCCACCGGAGATTCTTAGCACCCCCTGCCTCGCCGTTACCATGGTCGCCACCGTAGCCAGGAATAGCGGGGCCGCCGGGGACTGGGGGCCGTCTGTTTGTGTATTTATTCATTGGGGGGTATTTGCCATAGTTGCCACGCTTGGCGAGCGGGTTGGCAACCGCAGTTTTTTTATTACGTCACAGTTGTCATCAGGAAGACGCTGCTGCCCATCTCCTGCCTGTCTCCCTCTGTCGCCTCTTACGACACCCACGGGAAGATATGGGGTAGTGGATATTCTTAACCGCCACTACACGGCTTAGCTGGCCGACTTTATGGAGAAAGAGGGACTCTTTATGATGAACTCTTTCTTCCAGAAGCGGCCCCACAGGAAGTGGACCTGGTCGAGCCCCGACGGTTCGACAAAAAATGAGATTGACTTCATTATGACGACCAGACGCCAACTGTTCAGTGATGTCTCAGTGATCGCAAGGGTGAAAACTGGCAGCGATCACCGAATGGTTAGAGGCACACTGAACCTAAACGTTAAGTTGGAGAGGTCTCGTCTAATGAAGTCAACGCTCCGTCCCCCTCGTGCTCTAATCCAGAATCCCGAAACCTTTCAGCTCGAGTTACGTAACCGCTTCCAGTGCCTAGAAGATTGCAATGCAGTGGACGATATGAACGACAAGCTCGTGGAAACTGTCCATGCGGTCGGAGCTAAGTTCTGCAAGACCCGCCGCAGAAGAACACAAAAACTCTCCGATCACACTCTTAATCTCATGGCTGTTAGACGGGAGATGAGGCTGCAATCGTCAACAGATTTGACAGCATACAGGCAACTGAACAGACAGATCTCCAAATGCATACGGCGAGACTTACGCAACTTTAATACTTCTCGTATTAAAGAAGCGATCGAGCGGAACCAGGGCTCCAAAGTCTTTGCCAGAGATCTGTCTGCCAGAAAGAGCCAACTGTCAAGGCTGAAGACTGAGTGTGGCAACATCGTTTCCGGGACACCTGAGATTTTGAGTGAGATTGAGAGGTTCTATGGGCAGCTGTACACATCATCGTTGGAGCCACACGCAAGTGTGAGTAACGATCCAAGAGCAAGTCTTATCCGACACTATTCCGATGATATCCCGGACGTCAGTCTAAGCGAGATTAGAATGGCTCTCCAGCACCTTAAAAACGGCAGGGCCCCAGGCGAGGATGGAATTACAGCGGAGCTTCTGAAAGCGGGTGGAACACCGGTACTTGAAGTCCTTCAGAAGCTCTTCAATTCCGTCCTCCATGGTGGCACTACTCCAGAGGCGTGGAGCAGAAGTGCGGTGGTCTTGTTCTTTAAGAAAGGCGACAACGCTCTCTTAAAGAACTACAGACCGATTTCCCTTCTGAGCCGCGTCTACGTGCTGTTTTTCGAGAGTCATTACGAATCGTCTCGCACGCAGACTTGACGACTTCCAGCCTCCCGAACAAGCCGGTTTCCGAAAAGGCTTCAGTACCATAGACCACATACATACCCTGCGGCAGATTGTACAGAAGACTGAAGAGTACAATCTGCCACTTTGCCTGGCGTATGTGGACTATGAGAAAGCCTTTGATTCCGTCGAAATTTGGGCGGTGCTACAGTCCCTTCAGCGGTGCCAAGTTGACTGTCGGTATATCGAAGTGCTGAAGTGTTTATACAGTAGGGCTACGATGGCTATCCGAGTACAGAACCAGAGCTCGAAACCTATCCAACTGCAGAGAGGTGTAAGACAGGGTGACGTTATATCCCCGAAACTCTTCACCGCTGCATTGGAAGACGTTTTCAAGCTACTGGACTGGAAAGGATACGGTATTGACATCAATGGCGAGTACATCACTCACCTTCGATTTGCCGACGATATAGTCCTTATGGCAGAATCGCTGGAGGACTTAAGCACTATGCTCAATGACCTCAATAGTGCCTCCCAACGGATAGGTCTTAAGATGAACATGGACAAAACAAAGATCATGTTCAATGTCCATGTCACACCTATGCCGGTAGTTGTTGGGAGCACTATGCTCGAAGTTGTTGACGAATACGTTTACCTGGGACAAATAGTCCGACTAGGTAAGTCCAACTTCGACCGAGAGGTCAATCGACGGATTCAACTCGGCTGGGCAGCGTTCGGGAAATTACGGCATATCTTTTCGTCAGGTATACCTCAATCTCTAAAAACTAGATTGTACAACCAGTGCGTGTTGCCAGTGATGACTTACGGATCTGAGACGTGGTCCTTCACTGCTGGCCGTATGAGGACGCTTAAGGTCGCTCAGCGAGCTATGGAGAGGGCTATGCTCGGAGTTTCTCTGCGTGATAGACTCAGAAATGAGGATATCCGCAGTAAAACCAGAGTGACCGACATAGCCCAACGGATTAGTAAGCTGAAGTGGCAATGGGCCGGCCATATAGCTCGAAGAACCGATAACCGATGGGGAAGAAAGGTTCTCGAGTGGCAGCCTCGTACCGGTAGGCGTAGTGTAGGGCGACCCCCACTAGATGGAGTGACGACCTGGTAAGACATGCAGGAAGTCGATGGATGCAGGTGGCTCAGGACCGTGCTTTGTGGCATTACTTGGGGGAGGCCTATGTTCAGCAGTGGACTTGTGAAGGGCTGTAATGATGATGATGATGATGACATTACATTTTCATAAATGTATTGAGAGGCCAGAGTTAAAATATTAATTTCCTTAAATTTTTGTCTCAGTGACTCTTTTGATTTTAAACTATATATTGCTCTAATGGCCTTCTTCTGTAAAATAAATATAATTTCAGTGTGAGCCGCGTGTCCCCATAGCAAAATATTATACGACATAATGCTATGGAAATAACTAAAGTAAACTATTCTAGCTGTTTCAACACTGGTAAGAGTTCTAATCTTTTTTACAGCATATGCTGCAGAACTAAGTCTGGTAGCTAGTTTTGTTATATGGGGGAGCCATTGAAGTTTTGCGTCCAGTGTGATTCCAAGAAAAATGGTGGTATCAACAAGACTCAGTTCCTCCCCATTTAAAATTACATTAGTATTGACATGTTTAACATTAGGAGTTACGAATTTCATACATTTAGTTTTAGTTCCATTCAAATGCAAATTATTAACATTAAACCAATTAACTAACTTAGCTATAGCATTATTTACTTCGTCGTAATTTAATAACTGTCGTTTTAATTTGAAAATTAATGAAATCATTAATAGTATGTGCTCTGCCGTACAAACGGGCGTGCCTCAGGGCTCAATTCTCGGCCCCTTTCTATTTCTTGTATATAATATTAACTTATATAGTACATACCTTACATAGTATGGAATAACCATGATTATAGTATTATTTGCTGGTGACACTTCATTAATTTT